GCCTCCGGAGGAGGGTCCCACATGGCGCGCAGACATCTCCTGCCACCCGCTGCTCCCCTCAGCAGTGTACTTCGGTCCTTCTGCCTGCTCTGCTCCCCGTTCTGGCTCTGGTGAATTCTCTCACCCTCCCGCGCTTCTGACTGTACCCAGTGCTTGTATAAATAAATAAATATAAAATAAAATAAATCTTTAAAAAAAATAAATAAAATAAAATATATCTTAAGTATATTAAACATGCCCTTGCTCTTACTGTATGCATCATAAAAATATTTTCTTACATGATTTGCAAAGTATAAATTTTATCTCAGCTCCTAGACAAATCAACATAGATTCTTAATTAGTGACCTAATGGAGATTTATTACTAAAGTAATAAGTTACTTCAATGCAAATTAACTAATAAGCTTTCTAGTTTCAAACAGAGTGATGTCTTGGGAGGTTTACTGATTAAAAAAATAAAAGGTATACCCTCGCATTGCTTTGTTAAACACTCATACATGCAACTCAGTCCAAACTAGGTTCTCATTCATAGAGTGAGAGGCAGGCCTTTGTCATTCATAACAAGCTATTATAATTTTCTTCTATTACAGATGGTCTCCTGGTCAATATCTCTTCCTACATAAATTTTGCCTGTTCCCAGGTCAACATTATTAATGCAGACTTCCAGCTTCATTATTACCCTGATCAGAAATCTTTATGGTTGCCTTTTTCCTATTAAATTGAAGCCAGTCTTATAAAATAGATATGTGAATCATCTCTAGTCTAGTTGTAATCTGCTTTTCCTTTATTATTTTCTCCTATTTTTCTACCTTGCTCTCCAGTAAGATGGCTGTGTTTAGCACCCCCTGTTTTATGCTCCAACTCTACCCTTTTACCTTTCCCCATAAAGTTCCTGAATCTGGAAGCTTTCTTCAGAGTTCCTATCTAGGCTGGAGCTGTAGTACGATTGGCACAGCACATGCTGATATTCTCGGTCCGTGTGATTGGCACAGGCTTTAAATTCCTATTAAAATAATTTAAGGTTACAAATACATTGTATTTGTCCTTTTCATATACATTGCTCTATGGGTTTACTTTGACCTGACAATCAAACTAAATATTCCAGCTCTTATTTACATGACTTTCAATCAAGCCAAGTTTCACACATTCTTTGTGTGGCTTGGGAACTAAATATTAATCTGTGCATCTGGCACTCTCAAAATCACTGCTTTTCTTTCTGGAGACTATGTATTTCTTTTTCCTTTTTTTAAAGTTTTTTTATATTTATGCATACAAGAGCTGGGGTACAGGCCAGAGGTGTGGGGGGTGAGAGGATTCACCAGAGACAGAGCAGGGAACAAAACAAGTAGATCGACTGAAGTACACTGCTGAGGGGAGCAGCAGGTGAAACAGGAGAAGTCTGCTGTACCATGTGGGTTGCTCCCTGGCCGGCTGGGGATCGAACTTGCACTGCAGAGGCTGTGGACAGCTTCACAGGCTGCATGTTAACCCTTTGCACCACCAGGAAGGCCCAAGACTATCTTTCTTGATTATACCATCTTCTCTCCACTTCTACTGCTCTTACCTTAGCCCTTATTGCCTTAATCCCTTTATGAAATAAGCTGAGAGGGGAGAGAGGATGAACAGAAGGATGAATGGACTCTATTTCTCACTCGTGAACCTGTGCTCAGTCCTTCCTCCTTCCAAATTATTTCCTATAGAGCTAGTAGGCTATTTCTTAGCAGAAATCAGATATCTTATTTGTCACTGCTTATCATCATGTGGCTTGCACTTTCTATCTCTGACTTTCACACATGCATCTCCCTGGTTTGACCACATGCTCCCCAGATTATTTTATTGGCTAACTAATTCCTTCAAAATTTAGTTCCAGTACCACTTTTTCTGAAAAGCCTTCCTTGTCACTCCTGGAGTAGAATGTGAAGGTTTGCTCTCTGCTCAGAGACACCCAAGTTTACGCCTGTCCTGACACTTTTAACCTGGTTTAAAGTGCCTGTTCACTTTTAATTCTCCCCATTACTAAACTTTAAACACTAAGAACATTAAGTATGTATTTCATCTCTGTAATCATGCTAAGAACAGTGCCTGCATTTGTATCCATTTATCTTGCCAATAAAATTATTCCTGCTACTTCTTTTTCTTGTTCATCCAAGCATGGTCCCAAGAAGAACATGGTAGAATTGGATTTAAGCAAAAACAAGATTTCAAACTTGTCATCTTGTAACTTCTACAGTGGGCATTTAAACTTTGCGACCATTGTTATTACATCACAAAGAACACATAGCAAAGGCAGCTATAGTTAAAAGCTATCAATGAGATTATTCACCCTAGCTATGAAAATGAAATAGAAACAATCTATTAGAAGTGGGCATTCTCTGAGACTCAAATGTCGGTGCTAATAATCTAATGAAACACGTCCTGAATTTTCTGGTCTGGGAAAATTGAAGCCATCTAGACCTCCTGATTGATTTGCATTTTGGTGACAATGAATGACTCAAATATATCTGAACATTGTCCTTCAGTCAAGGTCATCTTGATGCTATTTAAAACCAATAATGAGGAATGAGGAATGTTTTTTACTGGAATGAAGGAGTAATATATCATCACGGAAAGATTTCTGAAGACTCCTAGTGACTTCTTTTCTGAGATATTCTAAGTACATGTTTATTTGGTGGTAGTCTTTCAAGGGTCCATGCTATGAAATGTCTATAATCATTGTTAAGTCGCAAATATTCTTAAAATAATGAGGGATCTTCTTCCTACAATTTTACTTTCCTGATCACTAAAATGTCCAACTGAAATTAACCTATTTACTACTAACCATTTTATTCCCTAGTTTATGGCTGTGTGTGTGTTGTGTGTGTGTTAAAATATCCAAAAGCAGGTCACTCTTCAGAAATACAATTGTGCCACTCTTCTCTTATGGTACCTGGTGATTATCAATTGATTGATCTGTATGTTTTAACGATTTGGCTCCCTGCTTCTTGAAAGAAACAGAAAATCGTTTCAAGTAGAAGATAACTGAGACGGCGTTGCTTGTTGCAAAATAGAATTCACTTTAAGTAGTACAGTCCCAGTGGGAAGTGCTTACATGAATAATTACCATTACTTGCAATTTGCCAAAATGAACAGTTTCATCACATTTAGTGATAGCAGCATCTTCAAATATGATTTACATTTAAATCACTAATGAAAATTAGTACATTCCTCACACTTTCTGATTTTTCTATATCCCTCTGTGGCAGCACAACTTTTTACTTCTTGTATTTCCATGTGTAAATTACCCCGTAATGTTTGTGACTGGCAGTGGATGAATGTGTTTTGCTGAGCCTAGATTTGCATCTTATTCCACAAAAAAAAATCTTGTTACATTTCACATTTCAAAGTAATTCTATTCGTTCAAAATGTGTCTTAAGAACTATCTATGCATTTAACATAATGCAGTACTAGTATCTCCAACAAGAAAAGTTCTATTAAAAGAATTTGTGTCCTGAAGGCAGCACTGATTAAAAAAAAAAAAAAAACTTCAATGGAATTAAATAGCAGCTATCATCTCTGAAATATTTGTTCTGTGTCACAAGGTGTGATCCATGCTTTATGTGCATTATTTTTAACCACTGTAATGGAAGAAGTATTATTTTTTCCATTTTACTTATGACAAAATTGAAGCTTCCGCAGCAGTAAATTGCCCAAGGACAAGGTTAGTGGACGTCTGGACCAATATTCAAACACAGGTGTACCGAAATCAAAGTATGGACTTCTATTCTCACGTACGGTCATAATTAAGAATATAGAAGTGTCACAAGCTTGCATGCTAGCTCTTATTGTCTTTTCTTGCCAGACCCAGAAAGATGGGTCTGACCAAACATTTTCCTATCTCATCCATATCAAAACATATACTGACAGTGATCTGGTTCATCAGGACTCAGTTGGTATCATCCAGTTGGTAATTTTCCTTTCTTTGACTTCTGGCAGGAGCTCTCTCTAGAGTCAGAGCCAATTGTTTTTCTCTAATGACTTAGAGGGAGGGTAGCCTGAGGCCATCCAGAGAACTGTGAATCTATTTATCATCGTTTCCTTTGTTCCATGGATGATATCCAACATGCTGCTTTGACTGGCCTCATGAGGAAAGATATGTTGATTGTTTCTACTCTACAAAGAGCAACACTGTTAACAAGATTTGGCTGTTTTCTATAGTTATGAATGCAATTTTTGAGCAATTATGAAAGTATATGCATACTAATTAAAACTTACCCCTTGCAACAAAAAATAAAATATTTATTGAGCTAATGTAGTTGCAATCAGATGTCGTAAACAATGGAAATAAGACATGTTGAAGACCTCCATAACTTGGAATATTATGGAAATATATAATTAACAGTTTACAATAGAAAAAAGTAACATGTCCTTTAACTAGGAATAAAAACATTTGGAGCAAGACCTAGCAAAAGTCAAGCACCCAACCCTGGCATTAGAACCTGAGGTGAGATTTCATTCACTCAATGAAAAAAGATTCTTCTAGAAAGAATCCATTTAACTAATTCTTTTTTTTTAATTTTTAAAAATTTTTTTGTTTATTTATTTATTTGTTTGTTTATTTATTTATTTATTTATACAAGCACTGGGTACAGTCAGAAGTGCGGGAGGGTGAGAGAATTCACCAGAGCCAGAGTGGGGAGCAGAGCAGGCAGACTGACGAAGTACACTGCTGAGGGGAGCAGCGGGTGGTGGGAGAGGTCTGCACACCATGTGGGACACTCACCCGGCAGCCGGGGATCGAACCAGTGCTGCAGAGGCTGCGGGCAGCTTCGCAACCCAGCGCTCAACCGCTGCACCACTGGGGAGGCCCCCATCTTACTAATTCTTGCAGAAATTATAAGCGATGCTTTTTAAAATAAAAATTAGAGTTTCTTATTATTCAGAGTGAGAAACAAAGATGAGCACTGCTTTCTGACTTTGGCCTCACCTCGCTTTCTTACTTTTTGCCTTTGCTCCTCTTTGCCAGGTTTCTAGCCAACACCACTTTCAGAGGGCTCAGTGGTTCCATCAGAGTAAAAGGCTCCACTATCATCAGCTCAGAAAACAACTTTTTCATCTGGAATCTGCAACATGACCCCATGGGAAATCCAATGTGGACCCGCTTGGGCAGCTGGCAGGATGGGAAGATTGTCATGGACTATGGTATATGGCCAGAGCAGGCCCAAAGGCACAAAACCCACTTCCAGCACCCAAGTAAGCTACATTTGAGAGTGGTTACCCTGATTGAGCATCCCTTTGTCTTCACACGAGAAGTCGATGATGAAGGCTTGTGTCCTGCTGGCCAACTCTGTCTAGACCCCATGACTAATGATTCTTCCATATTGGACAGCCTTTTTAGTAGCCTCCACAGCACTAATGATACAGTTCCCATCCAATTCAAGAAGTGTTGCTATGGATACTGCATTGATCTGCTAGAAAAGCTAGCAGAAGACATGAACTTTGACTTTGACCTCTATATTGTTGGGGATGGAAAGTATGGAGCCTGGAAAAATGGGCATTGGACTGGGCTAGTGGGTGATCTCCTGAGTGGGACAGCCCACATGGCAGTCACTTCCTTCAGCATCAATACTGCACGAAGCCAGGTGATAGATTTCACCAGTCCTTTTTTCTCTACCAGCTTGGGCATCTTAGTGAGGACCCGAGACACAGCAGCTCCCATTGGAGCCTTCATGTGGCCACTCCACTGGACAATGTGGCTGGGGATTTTTGTGGCTCTGCATATCACTGCCATCTTCCTCACTCTGTATGAATGGAAGAGCCCCTTTGGTATGACTCCCAAGGGGCGAAATAGAAGCAAAGTCTTCTCCTTCTCTTCAGCCTTGAATGTCTGTTATGCCCTTTTGTTTGGTAGAACATCAGCCATCAAACCCCCAAAATGCTGGACAGGAAGGTTTCTAATGAACCTTTGGGCCATTTTCTGTATGTTTTGCCTTTCTACATACACGGCTAACTTGGCTGCTGTCATGGTGGGTGAGAAGATCTATGAAGAGCTTTCTGGAATACATGACCCCAAGGTAATGCTTCCTTTTATGCTAGCTTTCTCTTTGCCTGTCTGTAATAGCTCTGTGTGTTGTATCTTGTGCTGTGGTGTCATTGGTCTGTCATCTAACAGAAGATTGCTTTCTCAGTTATCTATAGGGACAGGGACTAGTCCAAAAGGCTTTCAATTTGCCTGGCTGAACTAAATATTTCATTACTTCATTAACTGAAACAAAAAAAAGTGAAGGATCTTAGGAAATGCATGGAAAGTCTTTTTAGTAGAAACATCTATCAGTGCCATTTTCTTTGTGTTATTTAACAAGATGGCTATCAGGAAAGTCTTAGGAAGTAGTTTTACCCAAAGTAGACTTCAAAAGTGGACTAATTACTTATCTTGGGAATTAATGGAAGTAAATAGTAGGATTCATATTTTAAGTAATAATCATTTTTTCACCATTAAAAAATAACAGAATGGAAGGAACTACCATTTTATCATAGTACCCAAAGTCTGATGCTAAAGAACTCAATGGGTGATGAACAAGGAATAGTGAAGTAAGATGACAAGGTTAGCTAAGAACAAGATTCTCATGCTCATAGAGTAAGGAAAGAGGTAGAGAATGCCAACAGCAACTTTGCAATGTCTGAGTTTTTGTAAGAAACCTGTGTCTCTTCTAAGCTGCCTCTTAGGAGGTTGTTGTCTAGGAAATATCTGACCTTTCTGTCTCAGGGCAGAAGGGAGAGAGAGGGAGGGTGAGCTCAGGTAAAGGAGTAGGTGGTAGGAGTGGTAGTGATAGGAGTAAGGGTAGCCATGTTTCTGTGTTTTCTCTGGATTGAAATAAAACCTCTTTCAGTGATTGGAGGTATGGAGATGCTGTTCCAACCTGGTGGGAATAGAGAGGATGGGGCTGTCAGGGCAATTGGTATGGAGCTCGAGGCAGGATTTCAGTACTGATTGGGAGCAGAATCCAGTTCCAGAGCAGACATGTATTCTGATGTGTAGGGCACATCTAACAGAGACTGGAGACAGCTGTAACTTAGCCAGCATAGCCAAGAAACACCATGTTTAATGCAACCTGAGCTAAACTGAACATTCCAAATGGTGAAACATACATTATGCCTTCCATTACCTGCTTTCACAGCAGGCATCAAGGCATTTAGTCATTTTCTATAAATTTTTATTGCACATTCACATTTAAAATTAATTTCATAAAGCATCAACAAATAGGACATTTGTAACTGTCTTTAGTAAATGATGAATGATGGAATATCCCAGAGACCTATTAGTAGTTTTAGAGAAATCACATAGCTTGAATTGCAGTATAAAGTCTGCTTTGTCAACAAATGAACATAAGAAATGTAATACATATACTGCAAGCCTCCTGATCAGTGACAAGAACTTTATGAAAAATCTGAATGAACAAGAGCTTGTGGATGAGGCAAAGATTTATATTGATTTTTAATGAACACTCTGGATTTCAGGTTATGAGTTGGAATTCAGGGAACACAAATAAATTCTATAGCATAAATATGCCACCTGATTATACTGTGACAATCATAAACTATGATACAGTATTTTCTTACTCTGAGTAAATAGTTTGTTTGTAGTCCCAAATTTTGACTGTGACTTTTTTGTATTAATCTTGGAATCTAAATACCACTTACAAAATGTATTCATGGGAAAGGAGTTTGAATGAAACTTACTGACTTAGAAAGTAAGATTTGTGATCTGCATTTATACACAGTCCAGGAGTCAATTGAAGCCTGCCTCCACAAGTATCTGTTAACTGTGATGTCCAATAACTTACAATAAATGCAATGGCTCTACTTTTCTTCTAAATCATCATAGTTTAGCATGTTAGCTCTCTATCAAAAACAATGAATAGGATTATTAAGAGTGTAGACAGTTGATCATCATTTCAGAGCTGAGTTCCACTGGCATCAACTAACCACTTTGAATCAGAGCTAGAGTTACAAGCAAAGGCTGTGCAATTTGTGATTCACTACATGTTGCCACAGCCAAGGCAGGTTGGCTTTTTTCTGCTGGGGTCAGAGGGAAGACATAATCATGTTGCTGGCTGCTCCTGCAGATAGCCCCAAAGGATGGGGACTGAGCTACGGGACAAATGAAATTCAAGATGCTTCCATCCTCACTTAACTAACGTATTTTTTCCAGAATAATTTATTTTACACTGTAAGTAATAAATGTAGCTTTTCATGGCCTCCCACTGACTCTTCTGGAAAGCAGGATCCATGCTCTCGAAGCATGAACCATGAAAGCAAGAATTTATGGGTGACATATTTAATAGAACTTATATGGGTATTTCTGTGACATAAAAAGGGCACCTTTCGCTATAGGTGATGCAGAAAATAGAGTAGAGAGGGAAACAGCACCTATTGCCTCATCCTCCAAAGTCATTTTCTCTTAGCATTTTGGGATTGACAGGTGGATAGAAATTGCAGTATTATTTTTATCCAATAAGGTCTTCAACTGGGTCTATGGTCAAGGAGTAGACCTGGATATTCTTAGAACCTTCTAGTCATTGACATCTGACCTACTGAGATATAAGACAAGAAAATCACTTCACATATTTATTTTTCTATGAAAAATAAAGCCCCCCTCCTCCCTCATAAAGTTGAATTGGCTCAGTTGAAAAAATACATCATCATTCAAAATGAGCCATTTGCTGCTTTTAATGGGTTTTATAGTTCTTTTCTAGCATCTCATGTAAAATGCCCCCTTTAGCCTGGTGTCTCTAATATATGTTTTTTTAAATGTCAGCTCCTTAAAGGAGTAGGAAGCTAGTGTCATTTTGGTCTAGGCAAATGATGGTCTTGCTTTAGAAAAACTGTGCTAGTGAACATTCAAGTAAATATTAAAAATTAAATAGCTCTTGCTGTGAAGGCAAGCGCACACTTTAGCCAGAAATATTAAAGCAAATGGCACTTTATTCACTTCCTAGTAGGAAATTATAAGCATTTCCTAAAATAATAAAAAAAAGCCTTTATTGATCTTCATATAACAGCATGTGGCTGTCCAATAAAACATAGGAATTCATATAATGAAAGCTGGCCTTGAAGACTTGGGGATGGGGTCAGAACATCAAGGCAAACAAGACACTGAAATTGGAGTTTGAAGTGAAGTGAAAGAAACTAAACTACACCAGGCCATTCATTTGTTCCTAAATTTATCCAATAACAGCAAGGTCTGTTCCAGGCACTGTGCTGAGTGACTGGGAGTTTAGTAGTGAGTAAAACAGACCCTGTCCTTGCAACATGGAGTTTCATAAGAAAGAAAGACGTTGATTTCAAGGGAGCACATACATCTGTTAATGATTTAAACCACTGTAAGTTACTAAAGGAAAACACAGCAAAATCTGAGAACCTCCCAGGAGATGAATCTGAATAGTCTATCAAAGAAGAACCTTTGAAAAGAGAAAGACTGCTGAGATCTGAAGGATGTAAATCAGCCAAAAGTGAGTGCACTGGTGTTAGAAGAATATTCCAGGGTAACCCTCCAGCATGTGCCGAATTCCTAAGAATGGAGCAAGGGGGTTGAGATCATAAACACTCCATTATGAGCCACAGACTGGAAAGCCTGGAAAAGGGGGGCAAGAACAGCAAAAGGAATAAAATGGAGATTTTGATCAACAGACATTCTAGAGAGAAAGTTTCTGAGAAGAGGAAAAATTCAAGAAATGGCCTGATGTGAGAGAGCTGCACTTTTCACGGGCTGCTTGTACTTCCACACAGAAAACAGCAGCAACATTCCCTTCACTTTGGCAACAGAAGCTCATAACAAACCCGCCAAGTGTGTCATAAAATTGTGTTGAAAGAACACAATTTTTTAATGAACAAAACATAAAAAGATACTTTAGATGAAAAATTGAATGTGGTAGTGGTTGGCAATATCTCACAAATATATTAAAAACTGTTGAATTTTATACTTTGAATGGATGAATTATATGGTATATAGATTCTAGCACAATAAGACTTTAATAAGCAAACAAACTGCCATGTCACCAAATTAGAAGCCTGAATATTTAAAGATATCAGATTTTCCCTTGGCTAGTTTATAAGTATAAAGCACTTCCAATCAAAATCCCAAAGGAGTTTTTGTTGATTTGTTTGTTGCTGAATCTTATATACATTGATATAGATGCAAAAAGAAAAAATCAAGGGATTTATTTTTCTAGATATTGAAATTCTTAATCTTAGCAATAATAACAGGAAGCTAATATTCATTGACACTCCTATATGCCGTGCACTGTTATAAACAAAGTTGATAGAGTAGCTCTCCTATTGAGTAGCCATGGAAATTAAAATAATCCAACTGAAGCAACTTGTATAGTGTCTGATACCTAGGGGGCACAAAATGATAACAAAAATAGTGAAATTTCTTGTAAAATTTTAATGTGAATATTAATTATATTTATCTTGAACAAATAGATCTCTCTCTCTCCTCTCTCCTTGTCAATGTAACCTGGGTAAATGGCTAGATTCTCTTTTTGGAACTAACTTCTACAGAGCCTAGAGGCAAATTTTCTGCCTACTAGTAGTAGATTTATTGTCATCGTGGAAGCATTTTAAGCATCCTTGCTGGTTTATATTGTCAGTTTTTCCAGTTCATCCTTGTTTAAATTTATGCTGTCTGCTATTTTATGTCACCATTAGGTTACCTTAAATCTTTTCAAGAGGGGAACAGGCATAAATTAAGTAATGGCAAAATTAAAGAATAAGTGATAGTAACAATAATTCAAAAAAGACTTAAGATGAACCAATCAATATAAAAAATATTAAACTTACTTATAATCAAAAAATGTTCATAACGATTGCAATGAGAGGATATGTTTGCCTATCAAATTAGGGATCTTTTATTGATAGTTCTCAGTCTTGGTGGAAGCACATTAAGAATGGCACCAGCATACACTTCTTTGGGGAGGGTAAGTTGGTGCAATATGTTCATAAATCAGTTTGACCATTTGTATCAAGAGCTTTAAAAGGGTTCTTGCCCTTTCACCCTTGACTTATACTTCTA